TGTGCTCCAATAAAACTTTATTTATGGATACTGAAATGTGAATTTCATGTAATTTTCACATCTCATGAAACATTTTTCTTTTGATTTTTCTTTTTTTTCAAATAATTAATTTAAAAATGCAGGCTGGGCGCGGTGGCTCAGCCTGTAATACTAGCACTCTAGGAGACTGAGGCGGGCGGATTGCTTGAGGTCAGGAGTTCGAAACCAGCCTGAGCAAGAACAAGACCCCGTCTCTACTATAAATAGAAAGAAATCAATTGGCCAACTAAAAAAATATATAGAAAAAATCAGCTAGGCATGGTGGCGCATGCCTGTAGTCCCAGCTACTCGGGAGGCTGAGGCAGAAGGATTGCGTGAGCCCAGGAGTTTGAGGTTGCTGTGAGCTAGGCTGACGCCATGGTACTCACTCTAGCCGGGGCAACAAAGCGAGACCCTGTCTCAAAAAAAAATAAAAATAAAAATAAAAATAAAAATAAAAATAAAAATAAAAATAAAAATGCAGCTGCGTGCTTTGACTCACACCTGTAATCCCAGCACCCTGGGAGCCAAGATAAGAGGATCACTTGAGGTCAGGAGTTCAAGATCAGTCTGGGCGACATAGTGAGACCCTGTCTCTACTAAAAATAGAAAAATAAGCTGGGCACAGTGGCACACACCTGTAAGGCAGGAAGATCAGTTGAGCCCAGGAGTTTGAGGTTGCTGTGAGCTATGATGATGCCACTGCACTCTAGCCTGGGTGACAGAGCGAGATTCTGTCTCAAAAAAAAAAAAAAAAGATTTAAAAATATGTAAAAACCATTCTTAGCTTGCAGGCATAGAAAAATAGGTCAGATTTGGCCTGTGGGTTGAGGTTCACCCACCCTATCCTAGGGGGCAGAGACCCTGTCTGCTCCTCTGCGATATCCCCAGTGCCTAGAACAGTGCCTGGTACACTAGTAAGTATTTACTAGCCAGTGCCCAGTAAGTATTTGTTGATGACCAGCTGCTCCCTCTTCTGCCCCTTCTAACTCCAATTCCATTCCCTTCTCTTCCTGCTACTGTGTCCCCGCTACAATCACCTCCTGGCCTCTCTAACGATAGCAGCAGGAGTCTGCCTCACCCCCAGTCTCCAGGTCAGTGGCACTGCCCCAGGGAGGGGCCCACTGACCAATGCTCCTGTCTCATTCTCCTTGACCCTCTGCAGTCCTGGACTGTCCAGCTGCATGATTCCATTACTCCTCTTCCTCTCTGATCCCACTCTCTCCCAGCCCCGTCATCACTATCATGGGAGTTCCTCCGAGCTGAGGCCTCTCCTCCTGTCTTCATTTCTCCTCAATGGAGAACCCACCAGCAAACCCCAAGCCCCAGTCTTCCCGCCCACTCGCTCCTCTGCAGGGGGAAAAGAGTCTACGATTGTTATATACCGCTCCTATTGAGCACCTATCATGTGCCACGTGCTGCTCAAGTATTTTCTTGCCTGATCTCACTTAATACTTATAAGCACCCCTAGTTTACAGATGCAGAAACTGAGGCTCAGAGGGGTTAACTGAAATACTGAGATGCACATAGCTAGGAGGTAGCAGGACTGGTATTAGAGTGAAGATTGGTGTGGCTCTGTTCACAAGCATATTCTGAGGGCCTGTTATATGTCAGGTATATCCAGGGTACAGCAGCAAACAAAATAGACAAGCCTTTCCCCATGGAGCTTACTTCTAGTGGGGAAACAAACAGGTAAGTATTCAATGCAACTGCTAGAAGGGATGTCATGAAAAAAGATAACATAGGTGATACCACTGATGGGGAGCAATTTTGGATGGGATCAGGAAAGACCTCTTTGAGGAGGGACATTTGAGCAGAGGTATGAATGAAGTGAGAGAGTGAATTTAGAGCTGCAGAAAGAATGTTCCAGGTAGTTGGCCGGGTGCAGTGGCTCACGCCTGTAATCCTAGCACTCTGGGAGGCCGAAGCAGGAGGATCGTTTGAGCTCAGGAGTTCGAGACCAGCCTGAGCAAGAGCGAGACCCCATCTCTACTAAAAATAGAAAGAATTTAATTGGCCAACTAAAAATAAATAGAAAAAATTAGCCGGGCATGGTGGCACATGTCTGTAGTCCCAGCTACTCGGGAGGCTGAGGCAGGAGGATCACCTGAGCCCAGGAGTTTGAGGTTGCTGTGAGCTAGGCTAACGCCATGGCACTCTAGCCCGGGCAACAGAGCGAGACTCTGTTTCAAAAGAATGTTCCAGGTGGAGGGCACAGCAGGAACAAAGCCTGAGTGGGAGCGTACCTGGCATGTACAGTGAGCAGCAAGGATGCCTGGTGGCAGGAAGGCAAGGAGCCAGGGACAGAGTGGTCGGAGAGGAGGTGCCAGAGGGAGCAGGAGCCTGGCCTGTGGGGCTTCATGGGCTTGGCAAAGACTGCAGATTTTTTCTGAAGTGTGGTGGGGGAGCCATGGGAGGGTTTCCAGCAAGGGAGTGGTACCTCCCCCATCGCTCAGACCTGGATGAGACAGACAAGGGACCCCCCAACCCCCCACTGCTGCCCTCTGCGTGCACACTGAACACCCCGAGCCCCTCTGGGCTTAGTGTGGGGAAGTGATTAAGAGCACGGCCTTTCAGGTCTGAGAGAAGTGGGTTCCTAACCCAGCTGCAGTACTTCCTAAGTATCTCACCATGGGCAGCCCTGTCCCTCTCTGAGTCTCGGTTTTCTCACCTGGAAATGAGGACAGTAATTTCTGTCTCGTGGCTTTGTTGAGTGATTTGATGAGCTCTTGCCTGTAAAACCCTCAGCTCCAGGCAGGCCACATAGTGCTCTCAATAAGGCCTCATAGTTGGTGATTTTTATTATTTAAATGCTCAGCCTAGTGCTGGCACTTGGTAATCACTTGTTAAAGGTAACTACCATTATGATTACTCCCCTCACCTGTTCTGCCTGCTGTCAGGAGACACGTGTGCCAGGACTCCCCTCTACTGAGGGGCCAAGAAAAAATGACAGACCCTTTCCCCGGGGCCTGGCCCATCCAGAACCTGTGCTCTTGATAGTGAACGCATCACAGGCTGCAGCAGAGGGACCAAAAACCTGGCCCTCAGCTCCTGTCAGCTCCCTACTCCCTGCCAGAATAACCCCTTCCGCAGGTAAGGATGATGCCTCACCTGGGCCCAGCAAAGCCCGCTCACACTCATGACTCATTCATTTAACAAACACCTCAAGTAACTGCCCAGAACAGCCTGTTCTAACCCCATTATTATTACTATTATTAACAGATAGCATCTATCCAGCACTCAGAGTGTCACATTTCAGAGCATGGGATTAGATTGCCTGGGTGTGAATTGCAGATTTACCATTTTGTAGCTTGGTGATATTGGACATATCACTTAGCCTCTATGAGGAGCATCTATGTGCCAGGCAGTGTGTCAGGTTCCAGGGAAGATAAGGAAGAACAAATAAGACCCAATTGCCAGCTGGGGGCGGTGGCTCAGGCCTGTAATCCTAGCACTCTGGGAGGCTGAGGCAGGAGGATCACTTGAGCTCAGGAGTTCATGACCAGCCTGAGCAAGAGTGAGACCCCGTCTCTACTAAAAGAATAGAAAGAAATTAGCTGGACAACTAAAAAATATATATTAAAACAAATTAGCCGGGCATGGTGGTGCATGCCTGTAGTCCCAGCTACTCGGGAGGATGAGGCAGGAGGATCGCTTGAGCCCAGGAGTTGGAGATTTCAGTGAGCTATGATGATACCATTGCACTCTAGCCTGGATGACAGAGTGAGACTCTGTCTCAAAACAAAAACAAAAACCAATTGCTGCCCTCTCAGAGCTTACAGTCTAATTGAAGGGCCAGATGTTAATCAATAGTCACATAATCACATGTAAAAGTACGACTCTGAAGAGCGCTATGAAGAAGTATCTATTGCTAGGGGTGTATGTAACAGGAGGTGAGGGAAGACAGCCTGGAGGAAGTGATGTGCAACTGAGCTGCCTTGTACTGTTTCAAGTATAAGGAGCCACATGTGCAAAAGCCCTGTGGCAGGAGAACTGAAGGAAAGCGAGTGGCTAGAGCCTCGAGAGAGGAGGAGCAAAGTGTGAGCTGAGTGACTGCCATCCCCGCTCCAGAGACAGGCAAGCTGACCTGCCCAAGTTCCCCAGGGAGAGCCCAAGTGTCCTCTGGGTTCTCTTGCCAGCATGACCCACCTTCTCTCCAACACCGTGGGAGAGAGGACATGGGAAGTGGACCTTATGCATATAAAGTTGTAATGAGTCCTCAAGTGAGACAAAGCGCCTAATGGAGAGATGCCTGGGAGAGAAGGGAGAGGGCCCAGGAGGGGAAGACTGAAGGCAGAACCACTCCTGCTGTCCCCCACCTCCTCCGCTTCCCTCCCTCCTGCCCAGCCCCTGCCTCTCATTGTCTGGGTCTCAGTGTCTCTTCCTAAGTCTCACTTAAACTTGGCCAGTTGCAAGCTGGGTGTCTGGCACCTGACTGTGGTCTGTTCTGAGTCCTGAGTAAGATTACTAGATTTAGCAAATCAAAATACGTGACATCCAGTTAAATCTGAATTTCACATAAACAACAAATAATTTTTTAGTCAAAGTATGTCCAAGTATTACAACTCAAGCCCTGAGCAGCAAGGGTTGGGACATCACAAACTGCTTCTAGGCAACTGAGCTGGGTGACATTGACACTGAGGTGAATAATGGTGGCCAGCTCTGGTCCAGGCAGCCTGTGGTTTCATCCTCACCTTTTTAGTGAGTGCAGGTAAAGTGCTTAGAACAGTGGCTGGTTCAGAGTAAGTGCTATGTCATCGTTAGCTGTAATTATTTGTTTAATCACACCAGAATGAAAGTTCCATGAAGGCAAGGGCTTTGGGTTGTTTTTTTTTTTTTAAGGACTTTGTTTTATTTATTGCTATATTCTCAGCATCTAGAACAAGGCCTGGCTTATCATACATGTTCAGGAAGGGAGCCTGGTGTACAATATATAGCTATAAATAACTTATTGAATGAAAATGAATTTAGTCATTACATACCTGAAAGATTGAGATTATAATTCCCATTTCACATATGAGGAAACTGAGGTTTAGACACATAAGATGAGTTCCCAAAGGTTGAGGAGGTGGCAGAACTGGGATTCAAATCCAGATTGGTTGGGTTCCAAAGTCCTTTCCACCCAAAACTCAGGTCAACAGCTGAGGTCCCACGCTGGGAAAGTCACGGAATAAGGGCAGCATGAGGATTCAGGAGAAACCCTCATCCACTTTGATTTTTTTCAGCGCCAGTCGGTTCTCAACCGGCTATGTGACCTTGGGGAAGTCCCATCGTCTTCCTGAGGCAGATTTGTAAACTAGGTGGTGGTGAGCTCTCAAGGAAATCACATGTTGGTGGAGCCTGGTTCGCAGGAGGCTTTTGATAAACATTCCTTCCCATCCCCCGCCTTAGAACAGCTTTGCAAATAACTGACCAATCCTCCAGCCTGTGAAACCAGCAAGCCCATCCCTCGGCTCATCACGTGTGAATGAATGAATATCACCACACCTGGACCCCTAAGATCTCTTTAGGTGGAGGCAGTCTCTCCGGAGGGAATCCATTTGCTCGAAGTCCTGCCAAGTGTCAGTCCATCCTGGGAGGCTGGTCCCTGCCCTCCTCAGACGGGCGCAAGCCCACACCAGCGCAGAGCTGGGCTGACTCCAGGGAGACCCAGCTTGCAAGGAGCCCCCTCAAGTGATAGGGCTCAGCACAGACTGCAAAGGATGCGTTTTAAAAATCACTCTGGGGCGCTGTGGGTCCTGATGGTGGTGACAGAAGAGTTGGAGCCTACCTGGGGCTGGGGCACGGAGACACCTCTGGATCCCAGTGTTGGCTCCCGTGCCAGCACTGGGATCGGAATAGGGAGATCTCTAGGGCCTGGTAAGGTGAGGGCCTGAGGGGAGCAGGGCACAGTCTCCTTTCAAGCCTCCGCCTGGATCAGGTCCAAGACACCCTGTGTGACTCTGTGAGTCGGGCGGAGGGGACAGGGGGCTTGGCCCGGGTTGGAAGGAGAAGGAACATCTGGGTTGGCATTCCAAATGAGCAGAGCGGTGCCCCGGAGTGGCTTGCGCAGGGGGACGCGGCTGGGGAGGGAGGAGCCAGCAGGGCCTCTTCTGGGCGGAGCCGGGCGCGGGCCGGGGGCTCGCGGTGGAGGCGGGGCCGGCGCTCCCGGCGCGGCGGGGGCGGGGGTCCGCGCAGGGAATGCCGCGCCGCGGGGGCTGGGGCGGGGCTTCGACGGCCCCGCCCCCGCGCAGGTAGCCAATGGGCGCGGCGGCGCCGGGTGACGGAGGGAGCCGAAGTGCTAGTGCCGCGGCGGCGGCGGACGGCCCAGCCCGAGCGCGAGGGGCTCGGGGGCCGCGGGGCGCAGGGGCGCAGAGCCGGGGACCCCGGGACCCGGGAGGCGGCGCAGCCGGGCAGCCGGAGGAGCGCGGGCGGTCCGGCGGCGGCGCGATGCCGCTCGCCCAGCTCAAGGAGCCCTGGCCGCTCATGGAGCTGGTGCCGCTGGACCCGGAGGTGAGTGAGCGGGGCGGGGGACAGGCGCCCGCGGCCGGCGAGCCCGGATCCCCACAGGGGCGGGGCGGCGCGCGGCGCTGCTGCGGCCCGGCGGGCGCCAGCGAGGGCGCGAGTGCCCTCCGATCTCTTGCCCACTGTCCGGCTCCACCCCCTGTGCCCCGGTGTGCGTGTGCGAGGGACAGTTCAGCCAGGCTCGAGTGTCTCGCGGCCATAGCCAAGAGAGGGGATCCTGTGGGGTTCTGGCTTGCTTCACCCCACACATCCAGGACGGGTCCTGGCATCTGTCGGGAGCTGTCGGAGCTTCCTCCTTTAGTGCATACGGGCCGGGCTTGGGCGCCAGATGTATGAAATTCTACCAGAGACAAGGGTCATGGGACCCCCCACACACACTTCTCCCAGTGCCTCCCGCAAGAGCTCCCCGCGTCTCAGCCGCTCCTGACCCTGGAAGGATTGCCCCCCTTGACCCCTGGCGGTTGTGGAATGTGGGATGGCACCGCCCCTCTAGGGCTGGTACGCCTGGTTTTCTCTGCCCTGAGGCTCTGAGGCTATGGCCAGAGGACAACCGTGTCCCCTACCCTAGGCTGTGGAGAGGGAGAGCCCTTAGACCTTGTGAAGATTATTGGCGGAGGGGATTTTGGTGCCTGCTTCCCTCCCTTCCTGTGTCCTCTCTCATAGGAAAGGCTGGGCTCTTGGGGAGTTTGGCCTCTGCCAGCCTAAACTCTCTAGACAACCAGCTCCCTCTCTCCCAGAAGCTGCTCCTGTCCTCTTTTGAGGGCTCTATGGTGCCAGGCCCTAAGCATGCAGAAGGCCAGCTCTTCCTGTGCCTTTTGACCCCCAGGGTCAAAGTCAAGCCCCAGAACCTGCAGGTCAAAAACTTCCCCCTTAGCCTCTTGCTGGGAAGGAGGCAGGTGATTCTCCCCTTCCAAGGGGGCTGTTGGGGGTGTGCAAGGAGGGCATGGAAGACCTCATTTGAGCCCAGGAGTCAAGGTGATTTTCTCCTGGCTTGTGCCTCTAGCCCCTGCCTAGGTCCCCTCCTCTGTCCTCTCTTAGCAAGGGCAGCCACCATGTGTCCTGCCTCTAAGGACTACAGATGGAGATCAGGGTGAGGACACGGGTCCTCAGTGCCCAGAGTGTGCTGCTCCTTTAAAGGGATGGCCGATACACTGGCTATTGGAGGGTGGGCGCGGCAGGATTAGGTAACCAACCTGAAGGCGCAATTCGGAGTAAATTGCTCTGGGATTCCTGCCATGGGGTTTTTACAGGCACTGCTAGGCTGCTCAGAGGTGCTCTCGCTGACTCACCCTCTGAGGTGAGGAACACTGCCCTCTGGAGCTCCTATGCCCCCCCCCCCACTAGGACTGGGGGATAAGGGGCTGGGGGGTGCGCTCAGAGATGGATTCCTTTGCCCGGGCACGCCCCTGAGACCTAGGCCTCCCAAGGGGAAGGTAGAGTTGGGAGAGGCTGGGGAGAGACCTAACCTGCAGACTTGCCTTGGGTTATGCTAGGAGGGAGGCGAGATACCCAGGAACTTGAGTCCCAATTCCTGGTCCAGGGCACTTCCTGCTTCCGTTTAGGGAACCCTGAGGCCAGGGCCAGCTTCACCAGGGGACCAGGTTTAACTGGGAAACCCTCTCAGTTTTGAATACCTGAACTTTGTGGCAGGGGAAGACTGGAGTATTTCCCAGGTTGGTGGGGAGGGGGCAGTGATTTCCTCAGGAGCTTCACCCCAGAAGTGCTGTGTGACCTCAGCCAGTCCTCAGCTTGTCCGAGCCTCTGTATCTCCAGTGGGAAGGGCTAAGTTCTAGCCTCTGCCTCCGGGGCCTGTGAAGGTGGAGAGCCCTGAGTACTGCTGCCTGACCCCCACCCCCATTCCTGGAGGTGCCCGGTGACTGGGTGTTATTGTTTGGGTAACAGGAGCTATGGGGCAGCCAGGGTGCGGGTTGGGGTGTTCTTACTGGAGAACAGGGCCTCGCTGTTCTTAGTCCAGGTGACATGTAAGTGATACAGCGTCCTGACCCACAGGTACCGGCACTGCTGCTGCAGGTAGCTCCTCACCAGGAAGGAGACAGGCAAGGGACTGACTGAGACATTTGGCAAAGGCCTGGGGTCTGGACTGCTGTGCCCTCTCATAATGCTGCCGAAAATGGGCCTCTGAGAGGCAGGGCCTGCCCAGGGTGTGGCCTAGGTTTTGGAAGTTTGGATGAGGATTCTGCCTAGGCCTTCCCCGGCTATGCTGAAAGCAGTAGTCTTGTCCCCAGGCCCAGTCCTGCCACATACAGAGCTTTACTATGTGCCACCCACTCCGATTTACCTATGTCACCCTTCTTTAATTCTCATACAACTTCTTCAGGTAGAGATTATTACCCCTATTTTCAGAGGGAACAACTGAACTCAGGAGAGGTGGCATATGATTTAATGTCAGAGCCAGGATTGGAACCCAGATCTCTTGCTGTCTTCTACCAAGTGGGAGAGGCTTAAGGATGGGGAATGGCTGGCATCACACTGGCACAGGTGGAAGGTACTCCAAGAGAGGCTCCGGATGTTGGCAGACTCTCCTCATCCCGCAGGGCCGTTGTCCAGTCTTTGCTGAGGGCTGGCAGTGCCAGCTAGCCTTGGCACCTAGCCCCCAGCCTCCAGCAGTGCATAGGGCTGCCAATGCTGGGCTCAGAACCCAGCTCCTGAGGCTGCTTCCTGCCTGCAGGGCACGTGCTGTCCTTCTCCATCTGCTGCCCAGCTTCACATGCTGCCCTGGGCCTCTCTTCCCACAACAGAGCTGCTTGGGTAGTAAGGAAAGATGCCTGTTGGAACCTATCTCTGACCCCTGGGAAGGGGGCCCTGGGCAGCTGTCCTCACGAGCAGTGCTTTGAGGAAGAGAGAGGGGAGAGGATCTCTATCCTCTAAGACAGCGGTCCCCAACCTTTTTGGCACTAGGGACTCTTTTCTTTTTTCTTTTTCTTTCTTTCCTTTTTTTTTTCTTTGAGACAGAGTCTCACTCTGTTGCCTAGGCTAGAGTGCCGTGGCATCAGCCTAGCTTACAGCAACCTCAACCTCTCGGGTTTAGGTGGTCCTCCTGCCTTAGCCTCCTGAGTAGCTGGGACTACAGGCGTGCACCACCATGCCTGGCTAATTTTTTCTATTTTGAGTAGAGAACGAGGTCTTGATCTTGCTCAGGCTGGTCCCAAACTCTTGACCTCAACCAATCCTCCCACCTCAGCCTCCCAGAGTGCTAGGATTACAGGTATGAGCCATGAGCCACTGTTCCTGGCCCAGGGACTGTTTTCATGGAAGACAATTTTTCCACGGACTGGGCAAGGGGGTGATGGTTTCAGGATGATCCAAGTGCATTATATTATTATGCACTTTATTTCTATTATTATTACATTGTAATATCTAATGAAATAATACAGTTTATTATGGGTTGGGGGCCCCTGCTCTAAGAGGCCAAAGGGCTCTTTGGACAAGGTCGGTCCTTCATTCAGTCTTCTGTAAGGTGAGCATCACTGTCCCCATTCAGTCATTCATTTATTTATTCAGCACTTCTGTGACAAATACTATTCCAAGCAATAAGGTACAGCTGTTTTCAACAAGACAAACCTGCCCTCATGATACAGATGAGGAAATGGAGGCTTCAGAAAGTATTGTGATAGACCCAAGATCAGAGTGAGTGGCTGGCAGAGCTGGGATTAGTGCCTAGTGTCTTCATGGCTGCACAGCCATGTTCCTTCCACCCTCCATGCAGCAGTCAGGCCAAAGGGGCAGATGACCTCTGCCTTCCCAGGACCCAGGCTCCGAAGGGGAAGCTCACCTGTGGTCCTTCTTGTACTGTGCCCCTAGTCCTTTCTCCACGGCTGCCCCGTTTCCCTCTAGGGACCTGTGCATCAGCTCTTACAGGTATGGGGTTCTGTAAGGATGGCGCCCAGGCCAGAGACTCATCTCTGAGCGTCATCTGAAAAAATTAGAGTAATAGGACTTGCTCTGGCCCCCTGCTCTCTGCTGGATTGAATTTTCATTTGACAAACTACATGCTAGACCCTGGCCGGGTGCCACGGAGATGATAATAGACGAGCCATGGCTCCTTCCTGATTTAACCTGTGGCATGCTCAAGGCTATAGGGGGACCAAGGAGGGAGGAAAGAACTTGAAGCTGTGTGAACACAGGAGACATCTGAATTCAATCCTAAAGGAAGACCAGGAGTTTGCCAAAGTGACAAGGCAGGAAGGATTTTCTTGGAAGAGGAAGCCACCATGCGAACGCTTGGGGATATGAAACAAACTGTTCTGTTCAGGGTCTCAGGTTGTTCATTTTAGTTGAAAAATAGGGCCTAGTAATAAAAATGGCTATTGTTTGTAGGCCAGTTTACATGCCAAATGTATGTATTTATAGGCCTTAGGTCATTTGTTTCTTGCAAACCACCCAGTGACATTACTTTTATATGCATTTCACAGATGAGGAAACGAGGAAACTGAAGCCCTGAGAAATGAACTAACCTTCTCAGGGTCACACAAGTGGTAGAAGCCAGAATTTGAATCCACAAGGTCAGGTTCTAGAACCCACATTCTTTTTTTTTTTAGAGACAGGGTCTGGCTCTGGCTCCCAGGCTGGAGTGCAGTGGTTCTCTCTCACTCTCATAGCTCACTGTAACCTGGAACTTCTGGGCTCAAGCAATCTTCCTGGCTCAGTCTCCCAAGTAGCTAGGACTATGCGTATATGCCACCACACCTGGCTTCAGAACCCCCATTACCTCCATTCTGTTTTTTGTTTGTTTGTTTGAGACAGAGTCTCGCTTTGTTGCCCAGGCTAGAGTGAGTGCCGTGGCATCAGCCTAGCTCACAGCAACCTCAAACTCCTGGGCTCAAGCAATCCTGCTGCCTCAGCCTCCCAAGTAGCTGGGACTACAGGCATGTGCCACCATGCCTGGCTAATTTTTTCTATATATATTAGTTGGCCAATTAATTTCTTTCTATTTATAGTAGAGACAGGGTCTCGCTCTTGCTCAGGCTGGTTTCGAACTCCTGACCTTGAGCAATCCACCCACCTCCGCCTTCCAGAGTGCTAGGATTACAGGTGTGAGCCACTGCTCCCACCCCACCCGGCCTGTTTGTTTTTTTCTTTTTATTTTTAGAGCCGGGACCTCACTCTTGCTCAGGCTGGTCTTAAACTCCTGACCTGAAGTGATCCTCACACCTTGGCCTCCCAAGTGCTAGGATTACAGGTGTGAGCCACCACACCTGACAAAACTTACATTTTTTTTTTTTCTCTGTTGCCCAGGCTAAAGTGCCATGGCATCAGCCTAGCTTACAGCAACCTCAAACTCCTGGGCTCAAGCAATCCTCCTGCCTCAGCCTCCCAAGTAGCTGGCACTACAGGCATGCTCCACCATGCCCGGCTAATTTTTTCTATATATTTTAGTTGGCCAATTAATTTTTTTCTATTTATAGTAGAGATTGGGGTTGGCATCAGCCTAGCTTACAGCAACCTCAAACTCCTGGGCTCAAGCAATCCTCCTGCCTCAGCCTCCCAAGTAGCTGGCACTACAGGCATGCTCCACCATGCCCGGCTAATTTTTTCTATATATTTTAGTTGGCCAATTAATTTTTTTCTATTTATAGTAGAGATTGGGGTTTCACACTTGCTTAGGCTAGTCTCAAACTCCTGAGCTCCAACGATCCTCCTGCCTTGGCCTCCCAGAGTGCTAGGATTACAGAGGGAGCCACCACGCCTGGCAGAACTCACGTTCTTAATCACTGTGCTGGGCAGTTGGAGATGATGGCACTGAATTCTATGCTAAGGAGCCGGGACTATATGCTACAGGCAGTGGGGAGCCATGGAAGGGTTTGGTGCATAGAAGATCCTCAATAAATAGGGAGTGAGTGAGTGGGTGAGTGGATTTTAGGAAGGATGAGGGTTTGGAGTGGGGAAGGCTGCGTGGGGATGGGGCTGGTGGGTAGGCTGTGTTCATCTGTGGGAATTATGTCAAGAGTCTAGAATGCTGGGTGAAGTGGAACTCAACCTACAAATGCATCCCCTCCACTCAGGGCCCTGATGAATCGTCCCTCCTCCCCAGGCTGCTGAGAGATGGTAGTGTGTGTTTGTGTGTGTGTGGAGGGGCCTGCAGAACACTTGGCCCCTGGGGGGGGATTAGGGGCATTAAAGGAGATCAGGGGGCAGGATGTCCTGGGAGGGACAGGGGAAGGCTGCCCCAGGGGCAGGGAGATTATGTAATGGGTAGAGCACAGCTGTGCCTGCTGCTGCCAAGCAAGGCCACAGCTGCCCTGTGGACCCAGCTCCTGGCTCCAAAGTCCTGACCTGCCCTAGACTGGGTCTTCTTAGCCATTGGGAACCTCCTGCCTGCCTCCCCACACTCCTGCCATGCTAGGAGGGGTGCGGACAGCTCCTTGCAGCTTCCCAAGGCTCTTACAGGGTAGGTTACTCGCCTCTGTCCCTGCAAAGAGTTCCCCTGGCTGGGGTGTGGGCTGCTCTTTGGCTGAGCTTTTTGACTACCTCCTGGGTTTGGGACCAGATTTTGAATCCCCACTTACCAGTTGTGTGACCTTAGATGCCATTACTAGATCTCTCTGAGCCTCAGTTTCCTCCTCTGCCAGATGGGGTCAGGGCTCCCAGGGCTGTCGTGAGGATTACGTGGTGCCACAGGTGTGAGGCACTGAGCCCAGTGCCTGGCATGTGGCAGGGGCTCGGAAGAGAGCAGCTGTTAGCACCAAGCCCTCCCGGATTCTCGTCTATTAGGAAGGGCAGGCCTGTGTGTAAATAGTCTCTGCAGTGTGACAAGTGGTACAATGAAGGAATGCAGGGGCCCAGCGGAGGCAGTGGTCATTCTGCCCTGCAAGGGCAGCGGAAGGGTCCCATAGTGGGGCAGAGCAAGGCAGCCACTTTCTCTGGGCTAGACTTCGTCTTCCTCTACCCTTGCAGCAACTCTGGGAGGTCCAGGTAACTACCCCATGTTACAGGTTGGAAACTGAGGTGATGCAGTTGATTAGTTTGTACAAGGTCACACAATTTGTCTCTAGTGGACCTGGGAGCCACACATGACCCTCTTCTCCCTGGGAGGAGGTGATATTTGAGCTGAATCTTCAAAGATGAGGTGTTTGCCAGGCAGAGAGCACGAGGGAAGAAATGTTGGCTCCTGGGAATGTTCTGCCTGAGTCGAAAGTACTTGCTACCTGCACCCTCACCATGAACATAGAGGTGGAGGGGACCCATGCAGAGCTTCTGCCTCTGAAGGCCTCCCTGGCTATTGGGATCAGCCAAGAGTGGGGGTGTCCCATGGAGTGTGTCTTTTTTTCCATGCTGGTAAGTTCTGACAACGCTCTCCAATCTCCCTTTTCTTTTCCAGAATGGACAGACCTCAGGGGAAGAAGCTGGACTTCAGCTATCCAAGGTGAGGACCAGAGCCGGCACTCTAGGCAGAGGACCATGGGCAATGCTATTTGCATGGCCTCGAAGGAGGGTGGACCCCAGCTTCGCGCCCCTTTGCCCAGCTCAGCTGTCCTCTGGTTCCAGCAAGTCCTCATGGCAACCCTGGGCATAGAAATTACTTGCTCTGGCTAGGCATGGTGGCTCATGCCTGTAATCCCAGCAGTTTGGGAGGCTGAGGCAGGAGAATCCCTTGAGGCCAGGAGTTACAGACCAACCTGGGCAATATAGGGAGACCCCATCTCTAAAAAAAAATTAGCTGGGTGTAGTGATGTGTGGGCCTACTCAGAAGGCTGAGGCAGGAGGATCCCTTGAGCCCAGGAGTTCAGGGTTACAATGAGTTATGATCATGTCACTGCACTCCAGCCTGGGTGATGGAGTGAGACCCTGTCTCAAAAAAAAAATCACTTGGCTCCAACCTTCCTGCTTTATAGGTGAAGGGTCTGCAGCCCACAAGGGGTCAGTAGCAGAATCCAGGCTAGAACTCTGGTTACCGG